CTGGTTGTTTTCTTCCTGCCCGATCATGATTGGTACAGCAAGATAGCGCTGGGAGGGATCATCCCGTCTTCGTCACGCCGCTCCCGAGTGACCGCAATGTTACAAACTATACTGTAGCACCTTTGTTGAATTAATTAGATCCTGGTTAGAGTGCCCTATATTTGGCACAACTTGCGACGCGCTTTGCCACGTCGCCGCTGCCTGGATCACACCTGTATATCCGGGGATTGAGAGGGCGTGGTTGCGTTCTTTATTTGAATATGGCGGCGGCTGCACGTTCGGTAGTACACTGGGGTATTTTTTGGGACAATTCTATACACGTTTTTGTCCTGTTGACAGTTCTAGAATGGAAATATCGAGTAATTCGGCGCTATGCACCGCTCATAGAAAGAAGGAGGAGCTGCCCCATTCTGTTGGTGGGCCACAGCGGTTGCCGGACGCTAGGATCTCTCTGCTTTATGGGTTAGGTGCGTGTGCCTGCGTCGGCAATTCTTCTTCCTCTTCGAATGTGTCAAGAGCTTCGCAGTAGGCAGATCCTTTACCTCCAAACTTTTCTATTCGACAAATGTTGAACAGGCCGACATCATGGCATTGCTCTATTGAATAAAAACGTTAGTCCAATGAAATCCTATTAGTATCTTGGCTATGTTTTCGCATCTACTCAAGGAGTTCTGGTTATTGTCTGAGACCAGATAAGAAAGCAAAAATCCCTGAAAGTCCGAAAGATTTGGGATATATACCTGATTATAGGCAGACATCTCGCTGCTCATTCGAGCAGCCTTTTCTAAGTGATCCTCATAAGAACCTTCTACATGCTTCCCATTCCGCTTCAAGGCATATGACGTCGGCTGGACAGAGTAAACCGGGCCATATGGGCGTAGTCGTGCTGACGAAGACCTGGAAAGTTAACCGTCAGTCGGAACCCATTTACAGTCTGTCGTTTTCAAAAGATCTTTTTAATTTCTAACGTAAATACCCTTAAAATAATTGCTTACGCTTGCCTTCTTCGGCAGCACACGAACAGCGCAATCGCGATGAGCAGCAGAATCCACACAACAACGATAACGCTCGGAATGATGATAGCCATTTCTGAATGGGAAGATCAATCCCTTACTAGGTCATCCCTCTCATATATGGAAGAAATGTTTCTAATAATATGACTCACTGCTGGCAGCGGCCTCTCGATCTTCCTCTGGCTCCAACGTTGTCGTTGTGCCGGCTGTCACGATCTGTGGCCGCTTCGGCAATGCTCTCGTTGTCTGAAAATACGCTCAGTATCACTCTGGCTGAGCCTTTCAAACAAAAGTCAAATGTGGGCCGATACTGAAAAATGATTTCATAAAAAGGAGTTAGGTAGCGCGTACCGCTCGTGTTGTGGTGAAGACGAATATATGGGCAGCGGTGGTTGACGGCGTTGTAGTAGGGCGCTGGGTGGTCGTCGTTGGGCTGGTAGGAGATTCTGATGTCTGGAAAAGGATTAATCGCTCTCAAGAACTTTAGTTTCTGCGTACGCGGTAGAAGTTCACCATCGGCGGTTGGTACGAGAAAACTTTGATGGCTCTTTGCTCAAAACATACAGGTTCTAATACTCGGCTTCAAGATCGCAGAGTCAAGCTGAGGGAAGTGTTCCTTTAACACGCTATGCAGCTCCACAGCTCCACAGCTCGAAAAAAATGGAGCAAGCCACTTACTGGCTTTTTTCACCGTGTCAGCTTACTCACAAGGGGGCAGAAAAAGGCACTTTTCTTCCTCTACTCTCAAGACGATAGACGACGAAGTTACACTTTATCGACTACCACGAAACTTCCCCTCAGCCTTCTGGACGAGCGCCATCGAGCGATTCTGCCACACGACCGTTATTCGAAGCGAGGTCGTTGATTTCTCCGCCACTTCACCCTGTTGAGCTCCTGCCGAACCGGGTAATTGAGGGGGTTTAGGTCAGGTGACACACTTAGATATTCCGTCTTCTTCAGGTACTCAACGCCCTTCCATTCCAAGTAGGCGAAAGTTTTTCCAACGCTTCGATTCCATGTGCTGCACCCAATCCATAGCAGTACGAAGTTTCCAAATGGACACGACCACATGAATTCACATATTCTTCTGAGTAGGCGATGTACACACGTCAGCGTTCACTTCTCAGTCCGAGGGTCCAATGAGAAGATCGCTCTTCCCATTTCCAACCGGTCCAGCCAATACCCATCAACACCGTGTCGCCCTGCACAGAAGATGTTATCTGGACGGTAGCTAACCTGTCGGAGCTGGCTGATGTTGAGATCATCTCAGATCGAGAGTACTCGATCTCCAGATGCTCACACACTGGTGACTCCAACTAGAAGTGTCGGCAGGCTGTTGGAGGTGTCCATAAACTCCAAAGGTCTTCTCCACTCAGGCTGCGCTGGAGAATGCTCATATTACCGTGGTGTGCCGCCCCCATCGAGTAAAGGAACATGAGTGTGCTCCGCCCGCTTATTGAGGAGCAATCTTATGTGGTATCTTCCGCCTAAGTTTCTCGTATCCACGGCTTCTGTCTGGACTGCGAAAACTTACTGCTATGTATTGCGTTTTCTGCTCCCCCCACCCCCTCCCCGTATTCGCGCTGGCACACCCGGTACCCGCTTAGCCTGTCTATCGCTCTCTCAATTTGCGAATGCTCTATGCGATTATTGTCTCCCTGAGGGGACCATATTGTTAGATCGGTGAGTACTAGCACTTTTAACCAGCGGCAGGCAGAGTGTCCGCCACGTACATTACAATTATACCAAAGAGATGGTCAAAAACCAAAATTAAATCATTCGCAATCATCTTTGTTATTAACAGAAGAGTAGGGACCCATCGTCAAATTTGTGGCTCCATTCTCAATGGTATACCGATTGATTTCGGCATCTACATACCCCTTAGCAAAGCAAATTGTACCCTTCAGCCATAGAGCCTGCCGTTCCCCTGCACCATTGAGTCGGGAAAGTGGCACGCTACTACTGCTGCTGTCCCATTCGTCTCGCACATGACAGGGACAGTCCACAGAGGTGAGGGTACAATTTGCTTTCAAGGGTATGTAGGCGATATCAAATCGGTACTTACCATTAGACTTGACCACAAATTGACTGCCCCTCTCTCTGTTAATAACAAAAGATGAATTGCCGGAATGAATTGAATTTTGGTTTTAACATCTCTTTTTAAAATTTAGACTAACCTTTTCTGTGATGGGCTGTAGCTCAGTTGAATTCTGTTGCTCCTCTTCAGGGACATTCCCATCAGGAGTTTGGGTTTCTCCTTTCGCCTCGGTCTCTGCCTCCTTTCCTGAGGGCGCGTCAGTAGATGAAGGTGCAGATGATGCATTTCTGATAGTGAACTCTGGTTGTGAATTATCAAGGGACACCGTGACAAGGGTTTCCTCAGCATCAGCTAGTTTGAATGTGGGGAATGTCGACTCCGTTGTAGAGATCTGAGGGGTTGAGGTAGTTGTGGATGTTTCCTGAAAGCGGTACAGTTCAGAAGATCCTTAGAGAGGAATTGCTTTCAAAATTTACCTGAATAGTGAAATCTGGCAGTTGCTTGGGCTTTTCTTTGGGTGTGAACACCTCAGGAATGACCGTGACAAACGGTGGGAAGGTAATTTCGAATACATCTGGGTCGAGCTCTTCGAAATCGCGATCACCGAGAGAAACGATAGGCCTTAAATTCGAGTGATGAAGGTGTTTGAGTGATTATTTTTTTGTCTGGCAAAATAAGGGTAGAACTGAGTTGTCAGTACGACGAAAGTACTTGTTCCCTTCTTGTCAAATAGAATGTCCAGTGAATGACACCTATTCGAAGTAATCCAAGGAAAGAGTGTCCTTGATGGGGAATAAATCATCCAAGAAACTCAGAAACGTTTTCTCGTACTGACCGATGAGGCGTACTCTCGTATCGAGGACGTGGGCGAGTGGTTTTCGACGGCGCAGTAGAAGAAAGGCCTGAGAAGGTCGGAGCCGCTGTGGACGGTACCTGAAAAGAACAGCTGACTTTTGTGAATCTCTTCAGGCGAAACCCGTGGAAACTTTTTTCAACTTTCCACACTTCTTCATGAACGGATAACTTACAATTAGGGATTGAATGCAAAGTCTTCGGAAAAAGCTCCAGGAAACAACAAAAGTTTTTGACATAGAAAGTTCCATCTTATGGCTTCACAGCACTCCCTATCTGGGGGCTATCGTGGCCTCGTATCAGTACAGCAGACAACGTTCAGCGTTGATTAGTCCTATTCGGAATGCGCCACGCATTCGGTTTCCATTCAGAACTTTTGTTATGGGGTCGAATGCAGATTGGCGTATACAATGCCATGCGCGGACACATCGATGTGCAGTGCTTTTATCGCTCACCATCGGACAAACATATATGGCATCACAATGTAACTGCTGTTTTACGCCGCAGTTCGCGTTCCGAAGAGTCCACAAGAATGCTGAGTTATGGGCAAAAGTCTGCCCCAGGCGGGAGTCGAACCCGCACCTCACGCTTTCCGGGCGAGTGCGCTATCCGTTACGCCACCAGGGCCGCTTTTACCTCTCAGCTTCACGGCTTATATGCCGTAGCCGTTAAGCTGAGAGGGTAAGCATGTATACTATACGGGGGGGCAAAAAAGACACTTTTCTTCCTTGACTTTCGAGGCGCTATAAGTTACACTTTATAAATTCTGATCGGACATTTCTACCACCATATTAAAGAGCATATTAAATACTATATTGATACAGCCTTCTGGAGGAGCGCCATCCTTCTGAGAGATTCTGCTCCCTGCCACCGATGCAGCTGAAGCACCTCAGTTCAGACGAGATCGTTTAGCCATTCTGTAATGACCACCCTGTATGAGCCTCCTTCTAGACCGGGCAATCGAGGGGTATAGGTGAATAACACACTTAGCATAATCTGATATCCTTTGATTCCATGTGGTGTCACCAATCTGTGGTGGCACCCAATGCTGTAGCAGTACAAAGTTTCCAAGAAGGTACGGGCGACGACATGTGGGGAGGATATTCTTCTCGAGTTGCTCGATGTAACCGCCAGCGCTCACCTCAGTCCGGGGTCCACGAAGAAAATATCGGTCTTTCCATTCCAGGTACGTCCGGTCCATACCATCAACCCGCGCGACTGTGGTGAAGATGATGTCCTAGACCGTAGCGACGTTGTCGGAGCTGCTCGATGTTGGAGGTCTTCCAGATCGAGAGTACTGGTCTCCAGGTAGCTATCCATGGGTGACTCCACACTAGAAGTTTGGAGGTGACATGAATTCCAAAGGTCTTCTCCAGTCAGGCTGCGACTGGAGATGACTTCATATTTTGGTGTACATGAAGGTGATGGGCGAGAGCCAGCTCCTGCTTATCGAGGAACATCTTGGGTATCTTCCGCCCTGGTACTCGTATCCACGTCCTCTGTCTGGGCTGCGAAAACTTTGCTGATATGTGACTCGGTCGAAGTGTCTTTTTTTGCCCCCCCCCCCCTGTATGTTAAACGGTGCTGTAAGGCTGGAAACCAATCTAACATACCTCAGTTTGTGCAGCAACGTGTATATTGTGCCTTGCGGATTGTGGAGTAACGAGTTGTGGTTGGATGATACGAGGAGCATCGATGGGGATGGAAAGTGCTGAGGTGCCGTCGAAGCGAGAGGTAGGTAGAGGTGAGGATACCGGACCACGGGATTCTGAAGCAACACATACATTAATCGTAATGTGGAACGATACGTAAAATTACGCCAAAAATGCTCAAGAAGGGAAAACGAACGTTGAGTCGGCCTTGGTGGTAATATCCTATCGGATGGTCGTATCTTCTTCTGGCAGTACGGTGGCTGCTGTCCTTCCAATGGACATGGTTGAATGGATGGCTCATCTGAAATTTCTTCGTTCTGTCTCGAGTAGCACCACTTGGTAGAAATCTTTGCGTTACCTATCCTAAACAGCCAAATGCCCGGCTGTCCGATGTTGCTGAGTTGTGTGAGCATCCGTACCGACGGAGATCACCGAAGGGGAGATGTCGTTAGTCATAATGGCAGCTTGAATAGGAACAGTCAATTGAAGTATAGGAAGAGAAAGCAAATTAGCGGATGAGGCATCCACAAAAGGGTGTTAGGAAATTGTTAAAGACTCACTTCAGCGCCATCACCCCATTGCATATCCTTGTAGAGCATTTGAGCGAATGTCATTTTTTCTTGTTTGTTGTTCATTCCGCTGATGAGCAATGTTTGGAAAGTATTCCCTCGCTGAAACGATTTTTACAGGATGAAAAATACGAATTTCAAAATTCAAAAAGATACTATGCTGTTCCAGCTCGATTTTTTGGAGAAAACTCCCTCGGAATTGGGCTATGGGAAGTCGTGAGGAGAACAAATGGCTTCAAAACTTAGAAAATGTTGCTCTTTCAGTGAATTCAAAAACGCGAAAGTCCGAAAGACCACGCGAAGTGTGGGAACCGCCCAAGTCACGCAATTCCCCTATCTGCCACTAAAGACCGATGAGCGCTTAACCATTGTCGGTCTTGCTCTCTCCAACATACGGCTGCAACTGCTATTTCAATAACGTTTTTTTCGGCTGTTTCTACGGTCCAACCAGTAGCGGTGGAGCGCCGTCTGTCGCAGTGTTTGATGAGCATTTATTAATCGCGCGATTGCATTGTATGCTTCATTCGCGAAGTGTAAATGCCGTAAAATCTCCTAAGATAGTTAACAGCTCCTAACAGAAGAGGACCTCCTTTCGATGTATTAGAATGAAGTAGC